TGTCTCAATAGCGTTTCTACACGGTTTTAGGGTATCTCGCTGAAAATTGACATAAAAAATTGAGAAATAGTCATGGCTACAGATTTTTGGCCAGCACTGTATTAATGTTAATTCTTGTAACATGTCGTCCTCATTGAAAATTATCGTGTGTATTCTCTAGATGACTGACTCCCTGTAGCACAGGGATCACGGCGTTGGACTTAAGCACGCCACAAGACTCCCGAACAATGTGACACCATCCGTTTTGACGAACGGTAGGCTGTCCGACCCATGAGCTTGGATAGCTGCTCGTGGATTGCTGAAGGTACTTAGATCAGATCTAGCTTCACCGCCATCAACAGCAATTTACTCGAAAGCATTTTCTTTTTTACAATGCAGGTCTTGCTACCAATTTTGATTCATCAACGGTTTTCCCGGGAAACGTACGGATTGCCTGGATATTTGACATCCTAGTAAGAAGAGTTTGCCGCTGTGTCGATTGGCCAGAATCGTTAATGTATTTTAATGCGGTGTTTAAAGTATAGGACATCTGCTGACTGAGAATCACAAAAACTGGCTTGGGCATTCGTACAGTATGAAGGCGCGAGCACAGGAATTCAATTTCGAGTACGGGGCAGCGCTCAAAGAGTGTGCCAAGTATTGCTGGTAACACCATTTCATAATTATATATGTTGCAAGCGCATCTTCTTGGTAAATGCAACATCAAGTCACGTAAGGCGACCAGTTAGGAACCGAGACACAGTATGCAACACTAGTCACGCAGCTGTGTTGCAAGCGCTCAATAAAGAAATATGAGCTACTCGGCTTTGATCGTGTTACATCTGCTGCTGGCACAGTTGCGGATAGTCAGGTGTAGGTTTTAATAATCCGCAGGCACGAGCGTACGTTTTGCAGTCGGCACGCCAGCTGAAACTAAAAAAATCAAACACGGGAAGCAGAGCCTTCCATCAATTCTTTGATAGTCGATATCTACGCAGTTCCTTCAGTTTCTAATTTTTTTGGTGTTGCAGTTAAGGTAGCTCGGCCGTTCATACAACACGTAGAAAAGCAGACTGCAAGCTTAACGAGGCAAACGCACAATGACGCCACAAGAGCAATCCAAGGGGGCATACTGCGTTGATTGTCACTTTCCGAGGGTAGCAACAGCTTCTACATGCCTATTCTTGTAACGATCTGCACTGCTTTCATCAACGATACACGTGGAGCTATTCGCCACATCGGATTCTTCACAGCCGAAACAAATTACTGATACCAAAAACGCATACTTCTTTTTAGAAAAGTACAGAAAGCATAGAGAATTTTAGCATCGCGCAAAACAACCGTCCAACGCAGCTCCTTCCAAGCGCTTTCGATCTCGGCGATTCTTCGCGAATCGCTATATGTTTTGTACACATGTACTAACGCATAAAATTGAATTGACGTCCAGCAGTTTGACGTGAGGTCTCCGCTGGAAGCAATGTGACCAACAGAGACTCTACAAAACGTATCAGTCGCGGAAATAGTTGATCAAACATCCTGCCTTATAGCGCATAGCACAATGATAATGACGAAAACGCCATCGGCTGAAAAATCTCAAAGGTCTCTGTGATGTCTCTATCTCTAATTTAAGGTGACAAAGCCATTAAATCCACTTATTGCGATATATAACTTGCTCTTGATAAGTGAGAGCGACCCCTCAGCACCGCGGACTCTCCGCGCAAATGCTCCGATGGGCTCCACCCACCACGTGATCTATACGTTACGTCCGACAATCCATTCCCATGATGCAATGTATCAAAAAGCAGCCAGCGATGGTACGGGAGAGACTGAATTGCGATTAAAATGAAGACAGTGATGATTCTTCGCATATCTAGTTTAACAAGTTAATTCGCTAACGGCAAAGCAAGGATGCAAGCCGGAATTACCGTGTGTGTTGTTTTTTTTGCTTTATGACAGCAGCTGTTGATTTCATTCGGTCGAATCTTCAATACTCGTGACTGCCTACTAATTTCATCGCCTCGGCTTAGACTTATGATGGTAATATGAAAAGAGGTGATGGCTGCTTAATTACAATATAGTACAAGACTGACAAGCCGGAACATAGCTGCGGGGTGACACGCTCCATTGTAAGTAAGAAAGACGGGGTTACACGTACCCTTGTAAGATAAGGATGGACGCACAAGATTGTGCGACCTTACATAGGTGTGCATTACACATGTTAGTGTGATCACACAGTGGTGTGGCTATACTGTAACAAGGAGCCACCACGTGGCGGGATTGCCAGTAATAATGCATATCGCTGTATTAATTAGGTATTACTATATTAATCAAAAACCTAGAACTTTCGATATTGGCGGCTCTGCCGCAACTAAACAATTAAATACAGTTTAAATTTTGAACAGAAGTGTTAGTTTGCCTTGGTTTAGGTTATTGGTACTAGGAGGTAGCAGATCGCAATCCGCTACAGTCGTACTGGTTCTTGGAAAGCACGTAATGTCGGTGACCTTACCTTTAAGCAACGATCTACGACCGCCCCGCTGCACTTGGTAGCACTCGTAGTCAATCTACGCCTGAGTCGTTACGACTGATCATCGGTGAGGATGGAGCAATACCCCTATTTGCCCCAGGGCATGCAGGACGGGTTAAAATGCTGCTGTTCCTGCCGGGCCCTGACAGTGCTGAGCACCTTGTTGCGCAAGGACCCGAGGCGGTAAGCGCACAACTTGAGGCGTTTTCATATTATGAAAATGCTTTGTAAGAGCACTTATAGTTGAAGCTGCCAGCGTCGACTGCGTACATGACGCCACCGTCGACGACGGATAATCCCTTCCGACCCAGGCTGTTCATGGTGAGCGTTAAGACCTTCGAGGGTAAGGGTGGAGAAAATTTCCAGTTTTGGGTGCGCGAGTTCGAGATGGCAATGATATTCGCCATGCCCCAAAACGAGCAACAGCGCGTGGCGCTAGCTATCTCCAAGCCCGGGGGCCGAGCGCGAGAATGGGCACTAACGTGCGGGGCTTCGGTTGAAGCCGCCTTTCCCTCCTAGAAGGAGCAGAAGTGTCAGCTTCTGCGAGTGTTCTAAACCCTGAAATCAAAACAGTCGCTGCATGTCATGCGTGACACGGTCGGCCAAGGGCCGATGCATCGAGGGCGAGGCACCCGTGATGCACGTGAATTGACACGCAAACCACTAAGCACTGCTCTTCTTGCGAAGCAGTCGCTGCATGCATTTGATGGCGTGGTCGGACAGAGTCCGAGGCATCTTCGGCACGACCCTTCAGATGCGCGTGGAGTGGCACGTTATCCACTAGATGAAGACTGTGGGGACATCAGCTCTTCGTCGGATGTTGTAGATAACATCAAAGCTCCAAAGGAGCGGACGGTGAGGGTGACACCGGTCGACGCGGAATGCGTGTTCACCTTGGCCTCACCGAGACATGGAACCTCTGTACAGAGACGAAGGCATCGCCGTATGCTGGCTGCAAGACGCCGAGCGTCGACCCTGATCCAGGGTGTGTCTTTCGTAGACGACTGTGCACAGTAATACACCCTCGTCAACGGTATGC